CTCACTTCTTAATATTGTTAGCACACATTAGTGTAGCGTTCTTTGTTAGCGCACATTGCAAGACAATAATCACATATACAATTCTATGCACACTGATAACACCCTACATATACAGAGAATTTAAATAGTTTTCAAATCTTTGTTACAATCCAACTTTGTAAATACAAATTACATCACAACAAATCACTTTATGAACCTTTATTTTTTCATCACGGAACTTCTTCGTTCGCGACAGATGGAGCTCGTTTAGCCTTCCACGGTCATCCATGAAAGAGAAGTATGTGCTACTAAACCTCCATCCTAAGGTCTTCACTATCACCATCCTAACTCGCTAGGCCCTGACAGGTGAACCATTGGAGTGAAAGGTGATGGTCATGTTTCCTCATCAAAAAATTCACTGTGTAGGCTCTCGCAGGATACACCCACATCTGTAGCGTTTGCAGCAAGCTTGAGTAAAGCCCTTTGCAAATCTTCGTTCGTGAAGCCTAGCCATAATGATGTACATACATCACAAGCACAAATACACACATACATTCACGCACACACGGACAGCGTATCTTATCATATAAATATCAAAAAAAAACAAGCGACAGACATGGGTCATCTAAACAATTTATATTTTTACCCCATGGAAAGGGTAAAAACGGAAAGACACCACGAGGGATAGCAAATGAATAGCAGCAATAATAAATTATAAATACGAATGACTACTTTTCTAGAAACATTTAAATTACTTCCCTGAGCTCCTTCACCTTTTTTAAGAAAAGGATGGAAATGAGAAGTTACACATAATATGATGATGTTGCCGTTCCTTTTTATTGCAACTCATCATCATTATTTATTGTACAGTCCTTTCATATATCAGAAGGAAGAACAGTGATATAAAAATGCTTGCAATACGTTGAGCAAATAATAGAACTGTTTTACAACTGCAAATATTTAAAACACTTGTAACAAATGAAAGGAGGCCAGCCTTACTTAACATCGCATTATTTAATATAAATGTTGGTAATTTGGCCTGTTGGCGAATCTGCTGCAGCACACAGAAGCTCCTATTTGGGTAAACTTCCAGCTGACTTCCCTCGAATCACTAAGACTTTTCAATAACTGTGTATGCAAGCACTAAGGATTCCTACAAATGCGAATAAAAGCAATAAAAATATCTAGAAATGCAGACAGACGAAGAGGCAAGGATACAGGAGAAATGACCCTTGGATCGACAGGTACATTGGAATATGAAATATATAATGGAAGTGAAAACTCCTTAACAATAAATGAAAATTAAAAAAGGAATTTGTCCGGTTCACCTGAACCCGTATCCAATCGTTAAATGACTAGCAAAGAGAAGCAGCTTTTTAGGTTTGCTGACCTCCGACAACTAGAAAGGAATAAAAATATTGAAAAAATTTGTCCATTATCACAACCATATCACTTTTTGCTTTTCTTCGATGTAGAGCTCTTCAACACGTTTTTTTTCTTAAGCTTCTTTTTTGCACAGTTTTGACAGTACCAAGGAGCGTCATCTGGCGGTGCAACTAATAAACCCACACAACTCCTGAATTATTACAGAAATTTCGGTGGATTTATGTGTACGGTAGCCAAAAAGAGCATATATTGACATTTATTAAAAAGGAACTTACCAATGAAACCAGTTATCACATGCATCACAACCAACCATATCAGTTGCACCTTCTACATATGCTACCGAACACTCTGGACAAATCCACATAGTATCCAACGAGTCATCACTGTCCAGGGTGGCTGATTTCTCAAATGAACAAAAAGATAAATTTAAAGTCATTGTAAGTAATACAATCACGATTCCTAGCACAATAAACACGAAGCTCAGTTCCATCCTTGTCCTTAATTCATATTTCATCACTTTCCAGCAAAACTTATCGCACACCCTCGCCTTGGGATCTCATTTATTTAGAGACTCGCTGGAAACTTATACTTGTAGCATCACCAAAGAACAAACTTAAAGGATAATACTCCTTTCTGCTACATCCTACACCTTAATTAAAAAGCAGGTGGACAACCCAACAACAAGTGGTGTGTTTCTGCTCAGTTCTGAAAATCATGGACTTCCGAATGTTCTGGAAATATTACCTTATCCAAAGATTTCACTAGCGAATCAGCAGTCGACGACCCACTCTCGAAGATATCACTGTCGGCGCTGCATCGCTTTGACAGTTGTTCTTTCGCATACATGACTGGAAAAAGAACTACAGATTTCGAACTAAACATGAACCAATCCATCAAAACATGCTTAGCCATCAAACGATAAGGGAGTGAATTTTAAGAAAAGTCTTATTTACACGACCTCACCGATATAGGTCCATCATAATTCACCAAAAGATTTTATAAGCTACGCAACAGCGTCAACCTTCTGCTGCCCCATCGTCCAATTCCTAAGACTGCTTCCCTTTCCATGGCTGGTAAATCTACCACACTTAATGATACGAACTTTTTCGACTCATACAGACAGCTCTTACTCCAAATACTTCCATTAAAGAGCAGTAGAGTTTGGCTTTGGTGGACCGTATAGAATTGATGTAAGCACAGTAACTGGATTCAAGGTGCTCATATAGGTCTAGGGATTTCCCTACCCAACATTACCCAGCAAAGATGAATAAATTAAAATGTAGGAAAGGGAACGTAATCCAAAGATGAGAGAGTTAATGAAATGCTGTTACCTCGTTCAGGTTTTTGCACTGAATCGTATGGAAGATGGGAATTGTTCAGATCACGCGTAACTTCATTTTTACCGGAATTCTTCGTTCTCACATTACTCAAACTGCCGAAGCTCTCGTCTTCGCCAGAAAGTTTCTCGATCTCCTTGATGCTTTTTCCAATGCTGTGCTCTTTGTCCCGACCACCCGAATGCTTTTTTCGTTTCTCCTTATCCTTTAATTCCTTGTTACGACCTTTAACCTTTTCTTCCACAACAGTCCTTTCGCTGTGATGTTTCTCCTTCTCCTTTGACTCGCTCAAGCATCGCCTCTCTCTCGTATTTTTCACGTCCTTCTCCGCACCTTTTCCACGTTCCTCATCCTTATCAACACTTTTCCGCTTACGTCGCTGTCCTGATCCAGCAACTTTTTCCAACTTCTCCCGATGCTTCTTGTCATTCTCAGCAGCGCAACCACCGGAAACATCCCCCGACCTCACTCCCAGCATTCCCATCTTCTTCCCCTTCCCTTTACCACTTTCATCGCTTCCTTTCCTTTTCTCCCCATCAGTCCCCTTCTCTTTTTGCCGATCTTGCTGTGTTTCCTTCTTTTCATCATCTATTCCTAGACCTTTCTCATCTCGCTTACCTTGATCCCTTTCCTTCTCAAAAACCTTTTGCATATGGTGTGATCCTTTTTCTCGATCATTCTCCTTCATCTTCTCGAGACTATGATATCGCTCCTTTCTCTTTTCCTTCTCCGTTTCTTTACTCTTCGACTTCCCCGAAAAGCGGTTTTTGATAAATAGTTTCTCTTTGTCAAATAGCAAGTCACCATCGCACATACGCTTAAAAGAATCCCTTTCCAACTTTGATTTCACCGAATCCAACTCAGTTCCAGCATGCATCTGATCTGGTTTCCTTTTCAATACTTCTTCCAAGTTTCTTTTTATTGATTCCTTTTCTTGACGTCGTCCATCAGTCAAAAAATGTAGTGAAACCATCGGCAGATGCTACCTGTCCCCATCCTTTTTGGCGTCATATCTTGGATACAACTTTCACTGTTTCTTTCTTTCTCCATAGCTCTGAACATTTTTTCAGCTGAATTGAAAGCGGCAGCGCCATAGGTATCGAAGTAGCTCCCTAAAAACTCTTTCTTGCCATCGTCCACGCGCAAACGCTTACCCGTTGGTTGTTGCAGATAACTTCTTTGTTCAAACCCAGCATCTGCTCTAGAAGTAATTGGATTGGTGGTTACTTCTGCTGGTCCTTGTCCACCTGTGAATCCACTTCCCCTGAAATATTTACCTTTACTCTCATCAAACATACGACATTAGAGCAACCTATTTCGAATCCGCAGAAGGTACCCCGAGTTCAACTTTGCTCAGGAAGTGCTGAGAGCTGGAAATTTTGTTAAGTGCTTAAATTAATCGGAAATAAGAATAAAGATATTGGATAAATGAGCTACTTAAAATTGCACAGGAAATCCAGTTATCGATACTTCGACGGTTCTGTTGGGCTACTAGGAGACTATATGTAAAGTGTAGAATATACCGAAGCGGTATAAAACTGTGGTAAATAACTGAAAAACTGTCTGCAGCACTTCCCAACAAAACGTGGTTTTGTAGGTCCAGCAACAAACCGAAAAGAAGAAGGACGAAATACTTGTGGTGGGCAACGGTATGCTAGATACAAGACAACGTAAAATGATGTGAATACAAAGCTGTTTGGCTTCCGCGTACCACTGAAGACCTTAAGATAATGACCGGTTTTTAAGTACAGCACGGTGGGAAGTAAAAACCTTTATTTCCGAACAACCAAATCGAAATTGTAACATGACACAAAGCACCGGTGCGTTATTTTAAAGTCCTCTTGGCGTGCTGGGCAGCGGGCATCAGGCTTTTCATCCGTTAATAGTACAAAGTTATTACAAACGCAGAATAATAGAAGCTGTTAAAAGAAGCGAGACGGCGCCACCACTTCCCAGCAATCAGAGGGCACTAAATAGTAACGCGTACACTTAATTCAGATAAAACACCGAGACAACTAACCATCAGACTACGACCAGTTGGGAGTACCATCCGCATCCCCCATTTTCCGCATTTCATTTTCTTTATGAACAATACTTTTGAAACATGATGAACACGGTGAAGACGCTCTTAACTAAAAGGTATAAAGAAATTAGGGAAAGTGCTAATGGGAGGGTGCTAGTCGTTGAAGTGCTAGTTGTTGCGAACGAGCACACAAAACTGATTGCAACAAGGTAAAAACTGTGCTGAAATATAACAACAATGGGGTAACAAACACGGCGCATTTGCAATCCTACATTTAGTTAAGCATTTCCTTCACTGACGCTGAATGTAGTCATGTGTGCAGAAAAGCTTTGAACAAAGCTCTTTGAACAGGTTGAGATCTCTATGATCTTACTGTACAGATGATCCTGAATGACTAGTTTTACATACAGTTAAAGCTTATAGAGCAACATGAAACACTGAGGTTATGACAGTGCAGTTTGCAGTAAATAGTTTAGGGACAAAGTAAAGGAAACCAACAAGTACTGAAAACAAGAAGAATCTGTACAGAACCGTAAGAATTTATCGACTGGGAAGAGATGAATAACTAGGACAGCAAATGGTTTCAAGATTTCTAAGATTAAAAGCAGAGAACGAACAAGGAGAGAGGGATAAGAAAAAAACCAAAATAAAGAGACAACGAAAACACTATTTAAAAATCTGTGGAAGCATCAGAATAGCAAAGCTTATAAAATACAACATGTCCACCTGTACGAATTTAAAAATGCAACTGCATCCTCACATAACTTACTCTTTAGTTCCAAAAGTCCTTGTTTTCAACGGCAATTTCGGCAGCGCCTTCAACTGAAAATTTCACTGTCAGTGACTAAACTAGTCCCTTTAAGATATCACTCTTTGAAATATAACTGTTTCTTTTAAACTATGCGCAAACATTCGTAAATAACAGTAGCGGCAATAAAAAAGAATTAGCTTTCTGGCACAATTCTTACAGAGGAGCAGCAGAATAGCAATTAGCAGTTCGAAGTGGATACTTCCATTCGTCTAGTAATACAGTTTTCGTACGTAAAAGATCAGTGGTTATCACGTTCTTCTGGCACTACCACTCCGTGATTTGTTCATCCTATTTATTTTAGCTTAATAAATGAGTGCAGTGGTTGAACGACACAATAGACTTCAATATTTGTTAAATTTCGTCCTCGAAATATGACTTATTACGAGAATGTATACCCTTAAAACTGAGTAAAAGTTATAAGTCATCTCATTACCCAATAAAGTAGCTTTTTCTAACAATAACAATCAGTTCTCCCCGTTCTTAAGCTTAATGAGTTAACGTTCACAAATTATCAGACCAAAAATTTGCTCAATCTGTGTGACATACTTTTTACCTTTAGTCTATGAAAATACATTTTTAAACAATCGCCAGCAAGTTTCTTCCTGGAGAGAAGTTGGCTGCAGAAGCAATCCAACAACCACATCAAATTCTAAGCCCATTCATACCAGTTTACGGTCAGACTATTCATTAACAATAGAGATATGAAGACGAACAAACAAATAGAATGGACATGTGACGAAAAACCATGACGACAAAAAAAAAAGAAAATGAACACAGTGGAAATTCATCTAAAAAAATAACCTCTGCTTTGGTCACTGGCTGTCGTTTTCTAGGTCTAATATTTCCATCAGATTTAAAAGATGTATAAGGACTGGTAGTTTCTGTATCTTCTAACTTGATTGCGGGTTGTATAACCTGGATGTTTTGATCGACTAATGAAGGAATATCTCTCCCTGACCTGAAAATATTAGTAAAAGTAGCAACTGAAAGACCGAAAAAGAGTAACAGTTGAAGAAAATATACAAAATAAACAAGTTAAGGAGGGAAAACTTGCAGTTGGGTAGACGGCAAAGCAGAAGTTAGGATATCGGGCGAAGTTGCAGAGACGATGCCTGATGGCGAAGCATTAACACCACTTGAGTTAGATCCAAATCGGATTTTTAGTTTAGGTATTTTCGGAGCAGGCATTTCATCTGGCACTGTAACAAGTTGTTTAAAGCAGAAAAAATCTTTCATGGATATTTGATACTTGATATAGCACTCTGTTCAGTGCATAATTTACGAAAAATGATGAATCTTTAACTAAAAGCTATAATTCGATTCATTACCACTTGAAATAAGAAAAGTTACACAGCTAAGAGAGTACGAAATAATATAGACTTGAATTTGTACACTATGGACATAAAAAATGCAAAACAATTCTACAAGGCTTACGGATATGCTCGCTAGGTCGCTTTAAGCAAAGCTTTTCAGGTCTTAGTTTGATATATTTCTTCTCCTTGTCTTTCGTCTTGCTTTTCTTGTGTTCTTTGCACTTCTTTTTATCCTTTCGTTTGTGCTCCTTGCTGTGGTGTTTATCTCGATCTTTTTCCTTGAGATCAATATGTTAACAAAGATTCGTAGCACTTTTCAGGCTCCATAATCTACTGTCAGTAAGAAAATTACCTTTCTATGCTTTTTCTTTTTCTCACAAATACTTTCCGCAACTTGTGACTCATCGACTGTAAACGTAATTGTACTTGCGTCACCCTGCACACTCTCTGGATCACGTTTCTGCTCCACCTCTTTGACGGCCCGTTCGGTGCCACCTAAATAAAGAATATCAAGGATGCACGATGAACGAAGACCAAAAAAAAAGATATCTAGGAAAGAACAGCAGATAAGTCCATACTGGAAGGTGACAATGCAGTAAATATTTTCTGTCCAGTTGACCTTGATAAAACCACCTTGAGCGTCTTTAGATCTTCTGAAAAGATTTTTCTGAAAGATATAACAAGAAACAGCACAAATTTCAGTCAATGCACTGCATCTCGCATTAGTTAAAATAATAATCATAAAAGTTAGTTTCAAGTCCGAATATGTTGCAGTGAAATGCATGCCTCAATAAAAAACAGAGCGATGAGATATTCAAAAATTTTGAGGATGATATAAAAACGCTATTACTTGTTGGAAGATGGAATAAACTGATTCAATTCATGTATATCTTAATTATTTAAATATGGGTAAAGATATGAAATCTGAATCCTTGTCAAAAGGCCGATATCTCCATCCTAACTGTGATTTAGCCCGCAACAGAATATAACGTGAACTGTTATATCAAACAGCTTTAAAGGAATCAAAAACTAAAATTATATTTGCAAAGATATAAGAAAGCAAACAAAAAAAAGTGACACATAAATTTTCGACATAAATTTTCTACTAGTCATACTAATGAAGATATACATTAAAATTATCATACTAATGAAGATATACATTAAAATTAAAAACTTACGAGATGCAGGAGTATTATCAGTTATTGAACATTTCGTGATGCCATCTACAGTCCCTGATAAAGAGCTCTTTGCTGTTGTCTTTTTCACAATTTTTTTCCATTCATTGGCTTTTTCGCCAACTTTACGCCTCTCCGACTTTCCTTTAGTAATTTCGTCTAATGTGTTTTTACTCGCATTTCTTTTACCATTTTTCTGAGCTTCATCTTTAATTCCCTCCTTTACTTTCTCTACAGCTTTACTGCCATCACTAATATCATCTTCCTCTACATCACCAGTCCTATAAATTGAATTACTATAATGCGATGTGACCTCATAAAATGCATAGGTCTCTGAAACTTTAATATGAAAAGAGAGCTGTTCTGAAAAAATTTTCCGTTCAAAGATGAAATATCATAAAAACCAAAGAGCAGAGTAGGATGCAATAACTGGTGAGGAAGAATGAGAGAGTAAAGATTGAAACAGACTGACATCAAAACGAAACAATTTACAAAACGGTCTACTAAAAATTCTCAGGAAAAACAAAGCAACTGCTTAACGTTCGAAACACCAACACCAATAAAGGCAAAATGGAACCGCATGACGCTTCCTAATATATGCAAGTTTTTTGACATAAGCCGTTGAGATGTGTTGCATTATTGGTTAACGGTACATAAAGCTCATAGAAGTTATAAGCATTCGTTTGTTTTTATATCTATGAAAAATAAGTGATCGATTAGTAAAAATAGTACGGACCATTTGATTGGCATACGTTGAACATACCTATCTGCGAAATGCTGCGGTGTCAATACTTCAGTCACTTGTAAACCACCACTACTAGCACTTTGACCATCATTCATCTTTAAGTTCACTGGTTGTTCATGTTCAAGTTCATCAGTATCGTCCTCCTGGCAAATATAATGCGACGTCAACTTCTTTCGGTTATGATAGTTAAAGAAATAACTTAAAAAGTCCCCATCACTGTATTTGTGATTCGGAAAATGGAAAACATATTATATTAGACAATTAGTTAGATGTAAGGAATGAAGGCAAAAATGAATTTCGTTTCTACTAACATGCAGTACTTCGCTGCTATTTTATACTGAACAATACCATCATGGGAATCCTAAATCAGTGTTTATAAAAAAATTGATTTGTAGCGAAAAACAATACAAGTCTCTACCTCTACGACACCGAGAATAGAAAAAATTTGAAAACATAATGACGAAAAATTATGTAACCTTTCCACAAACTCCTACGTCTTCTCCACTACTTTCGGAAACAATGTGCGAAAAATGAACGTCTATAAGAGGTTTCTCATTCGCAATATTCTTCAAATCAACTCCATATTGCTCTATTTGATGGCTGGAATATGTCAGATGCGCATTATTCACAAAACACGCATATCCATTTTAAATATTTCGGAGAGAAAGGGTAATTCCTTCAAATTATCAAATCAACTCATAGAGGTGATACTTACTGTTCTGAGGAACTTGGTTGTTTGTGCAATGCTGGAAAAACGTTTTGTTGTTGGTTCTCTGATTTTTTCGCTGAAATAATTTGTGTAGTTCGAAGAAAAGGCCAGCCAAATTTTGGCAACTAAGGTGTTTTTGCCATTAAGATTAACCTCTACATTTGTAAACCTAGGTTATTGTACTTCGAATCCAAAAAGCGAGGGAATAGCACCAACCAACAGTGCATGAAGACACTGTTTAGGTAAGGAACTAATGTAAAAACACAATAATTAATCCCAATAATGAGAGGTGAGAGAACATTTCATACAAATTTCCAAAAAATATGCAACCAGTAGCTTCATTCAACCTTAACGACAAAATTGGAGATTAACAAATTTTCATAATTCCAATGCCTCGTTGCGTAAGGACGTGCAGGTGATCCTTTAAGCGCAACCTTAGTGAAAATTTGTATAAGTACACCATTTCCTTTAACCCAGTAACTTTGAACTCACCCAGCAAAACCTCCACAACGACCACTAAACAAATCAAAAACTAAAGCTAGAAAGAAAAGTAAGAAATAAAAATATAGATGACATGCCTTGAGCATCACTTTTAGCGTCAGTTGAACAACTCGCAGTCGTACTTGTCTTTTCATTTGCAAGGAATTTAATCGCTACCGGAACTGAATTACTTGTACTTGGATTTTCCTCCTGGAAGATTTCTTTTGTATAATGACTGATAAAAGAAATTTGAGTCACATATATACATAATTAACACCACAAACGCAAAAACGACAAACAATTTTATCTTTAAGCTTTTCTTTGTCATGATGCTTTACTTTCTTTTCCTTAGTCCAGTCTTTATCTCGATCTCTGTCTTTTTTCTTTTTCTTTTTCATCTTCTCGGTCGCAATACTCTCGGGATGTACTAAGGCTGATGGTGGCATGCCAAACATACCAATCGACCTCTGCAATCATCAACAGCTAATAATAAAAACACTCTAAAAAATGAAACAAGGAAGTGAAGCAGGGAAAGCTATACACAAGCTCATTGTCTGCAAGAGAAATGCAGTCGAATTTAAAGGTAATAGAAAATAAAGCTAAACATGAGAACTAACGTTACCTGTACAAAAGGCTTATCTGGTGAATCCTTCTCTTTAGGACTTTCTGCTTTCACGTGATGTTCGTCGCAATTCTTTGAACTACTGGCAGACTGCAATATCGATAAATAAACAGATAAGGATGCTCACAATAAAACATTTATATTCCGAAAAAAACATCACTAAAAACATCTCACTTCATGCAACGACCACTTTTTAGGCTTTGTTCTAATACCATTGCTTGTTGCTGTACCCGTCGTCTGTAAAGCTGCGATATTGGCACTACTTGAAATACCACTTGGTTCTTCAACCACTTTTTTGGATGGCAATTTTTGAGGCCGCACAAATCCCAATTCTTTAGCTGTCGATCCACTAAAATCAGGAAAGGAGATCTTCGGTTTTGTTACCCTTCCTCTGAAAAATGACATCCTATAATAAAACTTTATATCTTATAATAAGATGGAAATTAATGTAGAATGAGTAACAGTTATGTATTCACGCTCCATCTTTTGCGGATTCACAAAAGATTCAAGTAAAAAGTTTGCGTACAGAAAACGTAGCCAATAAATAAATACGGTCTTACTTTGTCATTCGACAAAAAAAGGGACTTAAGAATGAATGCATTTAAAACAAAGACTTCGCTTACCGGGGTGTAGATCTGCAATTTTTCACTGACCCTTGTGTAGCACCTTTCACTGCTGAAACTTCGACTGCTCGAACTGTAAAATAATATACAAATTAACATTTCTTTAATGCATGATAATCAGTTGCCTGAAAAAGAAAGGCATCACCTCCCACATGATCGGAGCACCATTCTGGATGCATAGCAGGAAAATAACGAGGTATATGTTCTGGTCGTACTGCCAATTCTTTATCTGAGACTGGCCCATATATATTGAGCAAATTTGGCGAAGATTTCCTAATTGGGAAAAATGGTACCTTAAAAGTGAGAAAACGATGAACAATTGATGTATTCAAAATCAAATACGGAAAAATATCAATAACGAGTCACTTACACTGTTTTCTAGAGGATCATAATGGACCTGCTTCATGAATGCGTGTAATTCTGCTGCACTGAACATAAGTTTTCCAAAAACCATATTAGCATCCTCAAAGATGGGATATCGTCTCCCAGCTTGAAAAACAAATTAAAATATATTTTCAAACCCTTAAATAAAAGCAATTTATTTACTAAATATAACTAAGGTATAATATATTCCTGCACCGTGCTTACCGTGTTCAGCGAATACTTTTGAATCAATCCAAAGTTTCTGCATGTACCGTTTGCAAAGGTCAGTTAGGATGCTCAGAACGGATTCGTGACAAGTTGAGAAACCAATATTATCCATCATCTTTACAACAGATCGTGTGAGATAGTGAAGGGCATAATCCTCCGGGGCTTCAAGTGGACGAATTGTTTCCGTTGCAGTGCCTAAAATAAAATTCAGAGCTATTAATATTAAATGTTGCAAAAAATCTTCGAAAGAAAAAACTGTCGTTAATTTCACCAGAAATGACCAACAAACCTTGACTTAATAAAGCAGGCTTCCTTGTAGCTATCCAACTCTGACTTTGCTGATTTTCATCGGATCCCTAAAATCATCCCAAAGCAGTTATTTCCGTTCTTTCAACTTAACATATTCCATATATCATACTATCCAAATAAAACTATTTCCAGAGAGTTAACTTACCTCCTCCTGTGGCTGATCTTCAACGACCTTCGCACTGTCATCATGCGTGGATGGTATGACCTCATCAACATGACGATCTGTCCCCGCAACATCTGTGATCGACATAGCGTGACCTGTTAGTGGCAATCACGCTCAACCTCAACAATGTTCCTCAAGGACAAAATCACTTTCGCAAGTCAAATTTGTCAGGAACTTCTAAGTTCTAATAATGTGAACAGTGTAAATGTTCACCTCCTGTAAGAATATCCTAAGCCACGAACCCGCTTGATGAACATATTCTCACATTTTCTCCTCAGGTTTAACCGGTCCGCCCCAATTTTAAATTAGTTTGCCAAGTACAGAATCTTTCAAACTTCTGAACAACAACGGTTGGAAGCACACCACTGCGACGGTTACTATGAAAACAATGGTCTCATATTAGTCATTGAGTAGTTACTCATACGCACTTATAGTTTCCCATATGCACTGTTGAACCTGGTGATTGCTCGTTCCAACATGCATGTCTTTTCCTGGTCGTCAAATATGTTGTATTGGTAATCTCGGAGTTGGACACGTACTCTACGTCCATCGCGAAGCTTCTCACTTGACTTATGCTCATTTCACACTTTTTCTTTTAGCGTGTTATATGCTATTATTTTGGCCATTCCATATATATATATGTGTTATATTCTCAGTCATTAATCCAGCTACATAATGTACTTTCTTACCTATCTTCTTCCGATACGTATTTGAGTCTGGCATTTCTCCTTCATTTATTCTTTCCTTTGAAAAATGTTTAGCACTTACGCCGATTCCTCCACTCAAATATTTACGGAGGTTTGTAACTTTTTCCTCTTTCTCTCCTCCCCAGACGACGGAATATTGCTGTTACCACTACCCAAAATAATGAAGTGTCAACTCGGCATGGAGATGCAACAGTGGCCAGGATATCTTGTCTATTACGCAAAGTTGAATTCACTGTAGGAAATAACATGGTATTTGCATCACATTGCTTATATCAATAACTATAGTCGTGGTAACTGTTCATGTCCAGAAAGTTATGAAATATCCAATGCTTCATGTACATAGCAAAGTTTATCTTGTATATGCACAAATGATATGATCAGCAATGAACATTGTCACAAAATGCCTTTTGATGAGACCAAGATAATGTTTGCTTTTTTCCATTAGCGATATTCACCAAGTTCTTCTTCACAATCAGTAAACGATTCTTCGACCTATCGTAATGCGACTTTTGAATGTCTATTTCGATTGGCATGTCGTTGAGCCATACCTCACTCAGTTTGGGATTATAACGATAACCGATGATATCCAAAACATCTAATTTAGGCACTACCAATCCTATCTGTAATTGAATTTATGCAACTAGCAATTATTACGGACTCCATTAATTGTCATTTTATAGTTACGTTGGGCGGTGAAGCTGACTTTTCTGTTTTGCTTCCCACGCTGTATCATTTCCCTTCAAACTAAAAAAGTAAAAAAATGCTAACAGCAGTATGGTTTGGAGTGATATATAAAGTAGCCCTGTCAGCAATGAGTACAAATTCGAATAACCAATGGAAATAATTGTAAACCGTGAAATCTTCCACAATACTTTCACCATCGTCCCAATACAGCATACCAGTTGATTTACTCGGACCTGAAATATAATTCCGATTAAGAAAGTTTCGACTATAGCTAACACAATGAAAAGACGAATCAGAATAACGTAGCATCAGTTCATTTCATTGCTTTAAACTTTATTATATAAATAAACCTTGTTTGCGCTACAGTGAAGATGCAGCTGTCTCCCTTTTATTTCCAATGCATTAAAGCACTGTTTGGTTAGAAGTATTTAAAGATTCAGCAAGCAGTCGTCAAAAATGGTAACCTTTTAAATTCTCTCACTAGCTCTACTACGCCATAGATTTTGAATCTGTCCTAATTTACAATAGCGTATTATATGTTTAGGAGCAAAATTTAATGAAATTAAATTTCTTGCCAACTGTAATGAGCAATTCGAAAGGATTATTTCTTGAAAGAGTGGTCGTCATATTTGGTTGCTGTCGTGGTATCACAACACCCCCTGAAATGAAAAACAAATTCATTAATCCTTATTATATTGAAAAATACTGTTTCCCACAAATCTTTTTTCATTTTTTTTTGTCTCGAAAAAAAGTAATAAAGGATGGAATGAAAAATACTTCGTTTTTCTCAGCTGTTAGAATGGAGAAGAAAGAAAATAAGCAAAAGCATTTGTGGAAATTTCGGATTAGGGGGGATGAAAATTAGAAAATGAAAGAATAGTCCTCATGATTTGTAACTCATGGCAAGAATTAACTTCGTGGTTTTCTCAAAACTTCCGGGAAATCACACCTTTAACAAAAACAGGGATGAGTTCATCCTTCGGTGCTCTGAATTTACTATGGCCTGGTTTTACCAGCGCACCATAGTCAAATTCTCGAAGAGAATACCATATTGTCGAGGGCAAATAACCAGATACAGATGTAGCACCCTGTAAGATTGATTAAATTTCAGTTTACTGCTCTGGTTTCAATGATTGTTAGAACTTACTTCTTGGTATACAGGCAAAATCATTATTGCACTTCCCCACATAAATTGTTCCCCGAGATCATGGGTTTCTGGATCAGAAGTAAATTCAAAAAAAACTGGTCGGACGACGGTGCCTCCATGCAATGAAACATCGAACAGTAAGCTGAAAAATGAATTACATTGAAATAACTGGATATTTTATAATAAAACAACAGGAATTAACAAAAAGCAAAAAAAGACCTGTAGAGATATGGAAGGTAGTAATATCGGAAAAGGTTAGCTTCTTTAGTGGCCTTTGCGACATCTGGCCATCGAGATGGATCTTGACTTGTTTTGCCTTTTTCATTGTGATTTCTGGAAAATGATGGTTTTAAGTTATTTTTTAAAGTCTTGACCCTTGGTTTTTCGAAATTTGCCGAAGTCCAACCTTGAAAAAGGATAAAATGCCCCGAGTTGTTGCCAGCGCAAACACAATTCCTCGCTTGTTTCACCATTGAAACCGCAAATATCTGCCCCGATGTATGGTATACCAAATAAATTAAATTCTTGAATACCAATAATCGAAACTCTCAAGTCTATCCAACGAGCACTGTTGTCGCCGAGCCAATGGCCACCATAATGGCCCGACGAAACAAATGTAGACCTAATATGTGGACTCATTATCCAAGTTCATCAGTTAGTTACTTCACCTTATTACGGAAGGTTTTGTTTTGAAAGGTTTTCAGAGGCCACCATTTCATTAAACATCTACTTAATCATTTATTGACACAACTCAGCATGCAATCCACAGAGCAACATAGTTTATGGACAAATTTATGCAGTGGCCTGCGTAGTTCATCCACAAAAATTCAAAGAGTTTTTTTATCAAATTTTCATGAATCATAACACTGAGTGAGTAATCAAGGTTAATCGACCTCGATTTCCTTTATCATTAAGTGCTAACAAACTTTTCCGAGCTATAGAGCTCAATTACGGCTTTAGAACATCGAGTATTACAAATAAAGACCGTTAAACTATAAATCATTAGCCTGCAAAATCAAATATTTTCATTTTAAAATTGATTTACTCTTTTCAAATGCATTTTAAAAGTCAGATTAAGAGTAGTCTTCCTCATTCTTTATCCTTTTTCTTTGCTACCTCAAATAATTGACTCTGTACTACTTAAAATCAATCCTCGAGCTCCAGTGAAAGATTAAACGAACCTGGATATAACTACGCCTCGTTTTCCTGTTGCAGCATGCTGCGCCTTCTGAGTTGCTATCGTTTCTGCTAATCCATACAGATTTTTCGTATTATAAATTCTCTGAGTCCCTCTGTTTGTCATCCCAGACATACACACAGTTTTGTTTGATAAATGCTGAAATAGCACCGATCTCTAAGTTCGTGAATTTTTGACAGATATTTTATAAATTTTGACAAACTTTGCAAGATTAGTCATTGTAATTTGAAAAAAAAAAAGTGCGAAATTAATCACAGTAATTTGGGCATATATAGCATCATGTCTTTGGAATAACGAAAAATGACAAAAAAAAAAAAAAAAAGGTAAAAAAACATGCAGCTTCAGCAAAATTGTAAGCGTAAGAGTTCCAGGTTTCGTAAGACGGGTTGTCATATTTTGATGCCGTACCACTAAGAGGACATTTAAGCGGCATTATCCTTGCTGGTCTTTCCGGGTCGTCGAAATAAAATGGATGATATTCGTTGGTGCCAAAAGCAGCAGGCTCATTCATGTCGATCCAGATACCGTCAAACGGAAGCTCAAAATATTTTTTAATTAATTCAATAAAGTAATAAAGAACAGCGTTCAGTTTTTGACAAGATTAAAAAAGTTATTAACCATTTGATGGAAAAGCTTGAATTCTTCAATCCACCATTCTGTTGTCAACGGTTCTGGATCGAGAAAATCGGGAAAAGCAACATGCCAATCTGGCCAAACGACCGAAAGCATTATCTAAATACGAAATTAATTCGACAACGTGCATTGGCAATTTAAGTGACGCAAATTTAATTGCGTTTTGAAATCAGGTATGACGCAGGAAATCGATAATCCAAAGTTAGAAATTCATTCAGGAAACTAACCTTCGTCCCTTTTGTTAACGGATATTTGTTTTGGATCTCATGCTGTACTTGATCATAATTTTCCCATTCTATAAAGCTGACATTCTAAAATCAAAAAATTTGAGATTCAAATACCGAATGCTTTTTAACAACATAGATGTTATTCACCTTTTAATTTTTAAGAGAAAAATAACACTGAAATCTGTTCGCCAGAATAAACTAAAATACTATCATTGAAAGTCTCGCTACTTTCGTGCTCCTCAATAAGGTAATTAAGAGTTGCCTCAAAAGTACAATAGCATTATTATACAATGAGTAAAAAATTCCTACAACAGGATTGTAGGCGTAAATCGAATTGCGAGCTCACTTTTTCAATTGCTCTATGAAAGCTGGAATAATTAACTTGCACTGCAGGATCGAAAATGAGCACCAAATGCATACCATTTTTATGTAATTCATCAGCGTACCTTTTAAAATCTGACCAATGTTCCTAAATTATTATTACAATCAGCAAGATATTTCAGGAGTAGCTATGATGATAAGTACGATTTTGATGAATTGCACTGCAAACATAATTACAGTTTACGACCTTTTAGAATGTAACCATTCTTTGCTCTGTTTAATGTTTAAAAAAAGCTTATGAAAGAAGTGAAATATTAAAATAATCAATTTGAAAATTATACTTTTCCGATGGTAAAATCTTTGTATCGTTCCATGTAATCGATGTCTGCATATGCAACATCAATTGGTATGCTGGCATTTTGAATTCTTTCAATTGTCTCCTTCATTTCAACCAAACTTTTGAAACCATACCGACAAAACTAGAGTTTTATTATTTTTATTAATCTTGAAAGAAATCGCAAATTTCCAATGAATTACTAAATGCAGAAAACATGATAATTTAGAAAGATAGCATACCTGAAATCCAAGTGCGAAATAAGGTGGAAGAAATGGTCGGCCAATATATTCAAGATATTGCTGTATAACTTGCTCTGGTTTCGGTCCTGGGAAAAATGTCACATCAAGTATTCCACCAATAGTACGATATATTAGATGAGGGCCAGGTCCTGTTGTTATTTCCTGAACAACATTACTTTTCATTTCAAGTTCTCATCTTACAGTAAATCAGATCAACCACAGCAAACTTGCTATGATAAATATTTTTACCTGTGGATTACTATTCCAAATAAGTACACCATGTGCATTATTGTCCTTCTCCAAACCAAGATAAAATGGATGCACTCCGTACAAATTGCGATATGGGTTCTCCGGATCAGGTGGCTGGTCTCTTGCAAACATTGGCCACGTTGCATATTTCGTAAATTTATGCTAAATATGCAAGAAGAGCTTTCAAGTAGAGCAAATATGATAAATTTAGCTAATATAACACAACTTATCAAAAGAAAAGTCCTTCCTGCGAATGTTTACCTTCAAATTTTGATGAACATGCTCACCGAACCCATAAATTTTATCAGTTGGTAAAAACGTTGCAATTTGAATATATTGGTCAGCGAAAAGTAAGCCACCTAAAATGCACTTTAAATTTGCAATCACTGTAGAACTTAAATATGTTGAAGACGAAAGTTTATTTTGTCAAATGACAACATCTTTTTTTGCTATTCCATTATAAGAAGTTTTCGAAAATACCAATTGAGGTATCCCAAATCAATTGTCCTGTAGTCATACGACGAATTCGAAGTATAAAAAGCTCAGATACATTAGGAATTTCAGTTACAAAATGCTGTTCGGATGTCCTGCAGGCTCTTGGTAAAGGCACCATTGGCTCGTATCTGATATAATAATATTTAGAGGATTTAATTTGATATAATATTAAAGTAATCAAAAAGAGGAATGATAGCTGGGTAAAAGTAATCATCACAAACTAAAGTTACTCATGTCCTTGTAAATTATGGAATACTAATAAAATAAGAGCTGAAAAGACTGTGGGTCATTTGGGCTGATATTTTAAATGTGTTAATCAAATTACTCCTACCTTCCTTCAACACCAATTCGTACATTTAACAGTGAGTGAGAATTCGTAATTTGTACTCCAATTTCCGTTATGTCAGTATCGTAAGGGTTTAATGCTCCATCTCTTGATTTTTGCAATTTTAACGATACGTTAGATTTTTGGACGATTATGTATCCTGTATCAGGTGGTAAGTAGCAAGCTGGAACAGTTGTATCCTAAAACATTACTTTTGTAAAAAAGTTATCTAGTTCAAACCACTTCCAATACTGTTTACTGTAAGTGGATACAACTGTTTAAGGTTATTTCATTTAAGGTTATTAATATTTAAATTTAATAAGTACTTCAAACGTATTGCAAACATACGGAATAATGTCCATCATCCCAAATGCATTTATGAAATAAGCATGTAGCTTTATCAGCTCCTGGCTTTGGCAAGCAATCAATTCGTCGATCTGATGGTACTTGTTTAACCATACTATGGATTCCATTTAAAGTTATTAAGTGGAGAATGATTATTATCATTATTTAAAATTCTCATGAAAGGTTACGGCTTTCTTCTTCCACCTGAAACATGATAAAGCATTGTGGAAAAGTTGTAGGAATTTTTTGCAAAATTAACTGAAGATGCAATGTTATTCTAATGAATCGGTATATGGCGATGCGCTCATGTATCTGTCACCGCTTCGAGATTATCATTCATATTAATTATGGTGATTAAGAATTCCATCATCCACCTATTCAATAGCAAGATATGATCATTGTCCAAGAGGTTAAAATTAGATTTTTCAGCTAAAAATTTGCTTTATCATGGAACTACAATTGCTTATTATCACTAGTTCATCATTTCTAGAACTAATATTTTCTTGACATATGTATTAAAGGTCATAATTTGGAATAAAACAAACAGAGAAATAAAAATGACTGAAACACTTTCTTGACGAAAGACATCTGTTCAATGGTCTTTCCAATGCTGTGTAAACAAGAGAGAGCGAGATATCAATTCCTGATCAGAAGGCTATCGCACCTCCCTTCAGCTTTGAACTGCTAGGCTTCCCGAACTCCTAGTGACATCAGCTATGAGCGAAAAAATTTACTAAGTCAATATCTGAGGTTTTGTATTCATTTATTTGCTGGCAGACTGCATTTACAGAAATATAAAGACCTAATTCACTTGATTCCAAAAAATAAAAATAAAAAAACGAAATTGCAGAAACACCATCCCGTTGCTAACCTCCCAAAATTTTTGTGATTTATCTCAATTAAGCTTTCAGAATTCGTCTGTTTCTGAAAATGACTGATTTTGAGAGATTTATTATGACGCGAAACAGAATACATAATTTTTCGCTGCTGTGATGGAATATGTTATAATGAATAACAAACTTTGCGTTTAATGTAGCTAAAATGACAATATTCGTTATCATTAATGGCACGGAGAAAAGGAATAGAAATTGTGGTCAGATAAGTGTTTGACAAAGATTATCGACTATAACATCTATTAAGTAGTATAGTAAATATAGAAATAATTATCCGAACTTATTAAACTCCAACAGAGGATGACTTTTGCGACTTGGAAACTCTGTGTACCTTACAAAAGTAAATAAGAATTAAGAAACAAAAGAATTCGATATGGTGAAGTAAATTGGTTGCTAATTGATAATACTGTTTGATTCCAACAATTTTTGCTGTGTAAATCGATCCTTCTTCCGTAATCATTGTGTACGATAGCATTACAACTAACATTACACATTTTTCTAGTTACGAGGCTAAAAAAAAAGAAAAAAATATCTGAAGGCATATCTTTTGCTCAAAAGTATTCCTCTGAAAGTCCATTAATAACTCACATCTTTAAAAAATTCAAAAGCTGAACTGTCTCAAAAATCAATAAATTTTTTATATGTAAGGTGTAATATATTGAATGAAAGTGATTCAACTTAAATAGTTAAATATGCTTAGCATGCAAAGTTTTTAGATGTCGTATAACTTGTAGGATGCAAGCACAAAGGGCTGAAAAGTACTTGAAATCAATCTGCATGCTTTTTTGGGCTCTTCAGTTCTTATTACTAAATCGACTGATAAATGACTACAAACATTTTTCTCAAATAACTTCCCAGCAAGAAATTTTGGATTGTTGCGGTTGGGCAAAACAACAGTTAAGCCAAGAGAGTAGTCGAAAGATGGTACACGCTAGCGATGATAAGAAACTTGACATTTGGGTTTAAATCAACTATGTGCATGTGCATCAATAAGTGAAATAATATATAAATGTAAATGTGTTCATAGTGATCAGTATCTATGATATCCTTTCATCAAAGAAGTTGACGTCATTTTTTACAATTTCAAATGTTTGGAACTGCATCTTAATTGGATGAATCTATCTCATCTGAAGTAAAGCAATAAATTTAAGATAAAGCAATTAAATAATCAACCTTATTAAAAATGCAAAGACTTCGCCATTCAGTCACTGAAAATTTGATTATAGAAAATATTTCAAATAAATTATGCAATCATATACAATTCACGCATTTTAAAATTTTGTTTAAGGTAGTGGTTCCTAATCGATGGATTGCGAGCATTAAAATTTGAACTTCAAGGCTATTTGCATTATAAAGTTAATCCAAATTTAACCAACACGTTGAAAGTTTTGATTAAAGTATATTCTAAATTGAGGGAATTTGTTATTTTTGAATCTTGTGATCTATGCTGCAAATGAAAAAGCCAAAGTAGTCCTGGTCAAGAGAAGATTGGGAACCATAAGTTTAAGAAAGCTGTTCAACGACCAATTGAATATTTCCTTAACGAATTGCTAGAATAGCTGAACAGAAGGGCAGAAAATACCATATACAGACCAGTTATGATTGCATGACAATATTCAATTCATCTATGGTAATCACATTACTGCTTTTATATTATCTTTCGGACTAACATCGACTCTTTTCAACAAAATGCTATTTGAAACTGTATTGGCAGAAATCCAGCCTGGTTGATTATTCAGCTAATACATAATAACTTAAGAACTTGAACTTGCCTTGATTACACAAGCAAGTAGATTTCTGAATTGAAACAGATTAAAACAGATTAACAGTAAATCGAGTATAAAAGTTTTACCCGTTGAAAATGTGCTATCCCTAATCGGTTCTTCATTAAGTTTTAGAGCTTTGAGACAAGTTTTCGAAATGTCGCTTACTAATAACTTCCACTAATCTTAAAAGACGTGATCGCATAAAAACTTGAGTTTTGAAAAATATGAACTTTGATACTACTTTCGCGTGTTGTGCTTCACATTTTTTTACGTATTATGCTTTCAGAAAAAAAAAATTTTAATGATGCTACTGATGGTATCAATAGCATCATTCAAACAACCATCTGATATAGAGATCGCAACCTCTGAGATTATGAGCTTCAGAAACTACTAGAGGTTGAAAACAAACATCGACGGTTTCCGAATTTATAAACCGAACGATTGTTCAACAAAGATTAGGGTGTAAAACAATCAAAACACCCAGTTTAACAGCTTTTTCGTATGGAACCGTAACATGATCTGCCAATAAAACCCATTTAGAAGACGATTAGGAAGTGGAAAAATAGATGAAAGCACAGAACATATGTAATTTAGGCTAGCGGCTTATTATTTCACATTGTTTATTGAATCATGGAAATATGGTAGTAGGATACATGTATCGTTATGCAACCACTTTTTTGCAGAAAATATCACATATTTTGTTATCAATATCCATAACTGTCTGATCAAACTTTTCAAAAATGCAAAATGTAATTGAAGAATAACGAAATGATTGTTCATCTGATATGTTATTTGAGATGTTTAATATATACCGAGTTAACTTCTTTTTTTTTTTTTTACTATAAGCATAGGTAAGATATTAATCACCATTAAAAAAAGTGGAACTGATATAAGTCAAGTTCAAAGCACCGACTTACAGACCTGCCCAATGCAATGTAATAGCTCTAGGTTTTGGTGATAAATATTCGCTGACGATGGCTAGTAAAAAAAGAAAACATAAGAAATTTCAGAAATTTAATGATGCATATGGTTCTCACAAAATGAAACAGATTATCACAGGTTACATCGATGTTTTCATAATCAATATTCTTTAGGCTAACCCATAACAATTATCACAGAATATTACTGGAAAACACATTCCGCACTGATAAATTTAGAGACTATCAATAAAGTACAGACTCATAAATGAAACTTTAAAGAAAACAGGATGATTCCGCGAAAAAATATACAAACAAGATATTTAGAATGGTCACTATAAAATGTAACCAGAAAACTTTGATTGCCGAATAACTGATCACCTTTCTTGTAATTACATATTTTGTTGGCATCGGTGAATTGTTGTCAAAACCAACATCAAGGATAGTAGAGATAATTAAATCTAGAATTCGAACATATTAAGAAGTTATTACGATTATTTTGCCAAACCTGTTAAATCGTTCCAGTAAACGATGATTTAGCGTAATAAAGAGAATAAACTGAAAAGGAAGAACTAACCGGCCAAGAACATGCGGTAGACTTGCAATGATAGGTCCATAGCCATTTACATTATCGTAGATTTCAAAGACAGGAGCAGCCACCAATGTATTATTCTTCGCAATTGTGAATGTTGCTTTCTTAGGAAGCTCCACGACGAACACTCTTATCATCTCTTTTGGTTTAGTGATATGTGAAGGAATATAAGGATACTAAACAGGAGCTTTTAAAGCTACTATATATATATATATATATGGAAAGATTATGATCCAGAATTCAAAGAAAAAGAAACAAAATTGGGAATCAAGATTGGGGTGCGGTAACATCCACAACTGTAGATTTCATTTCAGACTTCATTCACTGTTCCTTTAAGACACAGGTTCCTGGGAAATGACTTACAATGGGTGCTTCAAAATTGGGACGCCACCATTTTGCAGCAATATGTTGTATTTGGCAAACTGCGTCTACAGCATCTTCAAATCCCAAAACCTGGAAAAATAGATGAATAAACACTTGCCATGCCGTACTGGAACATACGTGAGAAATAAACTTAGTTGTACCTCGGCCATCAATCGTTTCATTCCAGCAATTTCATCTTCGCCATGGTATAATGTCACCTCTGGTCTATAAGTTAAAACATATGTGAATTCCGTTGAATTTTCTTCAAATAATAATTAAGTTGTTGAACATAAAGTCTGGGTTCCTGAGAAAAAAAGCAAAACATACAACTTCGACGACTGCATCTGACCAACTCCATTTTTTAAGAGCAATACGTGAATGATAGAATTTTGGTGACCTAGTAGAACACCTTGCACTGTGCGAACCATGCCATCATTTTCATACTCTTGTCGCAGTTTCAGAGATTGCTTATAGTCGAATATTCGTGGAGGATCCTCATAATCATTGCTTCGTACAGAGTAATTAGTCAAGGGATACCTAGAAAGATAATGTATCACTAAGCCATCAGTATTTATTTTGCGCAAAACGAGAGAACGTTGTGAAGTTATTATTATAAGACTTTTTCTTCAGTACTAAACCATAATTCTGACTAATAAGGTTCATAATGCATTGGTCGAGTTCCTGTTGTCAACTTACAATCTAATAACGCTACTCATGCTTCGGCGCTCACGTTTGCACGAACATAGTTGCGATTCGCCTACACTAGATGCTGTTGAGGACCCAGGCAATGTCACGGTAGTCATCATGAAGCATTCAAAGGAAGCAATACCAACTACGACTGGTAAACGACCTTTCGACAATTCAAGCAACCGCTACAGAAAAGAAAGGGAAATTTTTTAATTTTTTATACTTATAAAACTAAAAGTGATGCAAAAAATTATTTACATAATTCATTTGCCTGTGTCCTCTCTTCATGTCTATAGACAAGCAACAAATTTAAAGTTACAATGTTTTACAGATGCCATTGAACAAAGATAAATCCTTTCTTTTAAGAAGCATTAGAGATTCCTCTTGAATTAAAACTCTTGTGTAGTATCAGAATTATAATTATTTCCTTCGTCAAAAATCAGCGGTTGTAACGATTAGAAATTATGGGATGCTGATTTTTCAAACCTTATTTTAATCAACGAAAGAAAAAGATTTGGAAATAACATCGAAATGGTTTCGTCGAAAATATAATTCCAAAATGCTGAAGCAAGGAATGAAGGGAAAGTTTCACTTGTAATATAACTTCAAAAGTTATAATAGTAAATTGTGAAAGCAAACATCAAACATGCATACTGATTAAATATATGGCAAATGACAGTTAATCGAAGGCCTACACAGATTCCAAACCGCATAGGTGCAAAATGCATATTAAGGCTCATAAAAACCAGTAATAAAGTTCGTAAAGTGCTGGTCGGCCGAATTCGCAATGCAGCTTGCTAACGGTGAGGAAGTGTAGGCTGAGTGCTGAAGGTTGTACTGGACTGGAGAGGGTATTCAGGATATCACGACTCTAAGGTTCAGTACCTTAAATTCATCAAACGTTAACGGACAGCAGAGCAATATTAGCTTTCGACAATCTTTTTTCTCCTTCAATTTAAATTATGTGGAAGATTTGCAACTATAAATTATGATATTACCGTTTGACAGTTCTCCATTCTCTATACTTTCTTGACACCAGCACTGCTTAATTGGTGTATTTGACAATGAAAAGCATTATTTATGAAATTGGCTAAAAGAATACTGCTATTTGGTAAACGAAATTTCAATCCCATAGAAACTGTTTGCCTTTAATGAGTAATAGCATCGTCGTAGATGATGCATTTACTGCCTACAGTAAAAGAAATTTATAATCAAGGTATGATGCTGT